CATCCAAACTGCTCGCTGCCCTACTCTTGCGGAGACTCAATTGCGTACGGAAACAGCACCTGCGTGAACTACAAGCTGGATTTCACCCGGATCACAGTTGTGTCGATCGCATCTTTACGATACGCCAGATACTTGAACATCGCTGTACTTTCAGTCGACCAACTATAGTCATATTCTTGGATATTTGAGTCGCGTTTGACTCTGTTGACAGAGGGACTCCTTGGGACTGCTTACTGAAGAGCGGAGTACTTGAGAAGTACATCAGCATTCTCCGTGTCATTTAAAATTAAACTTCGGACCGCATGCGCGTATACGGAGACATTTCGCCCCATTTCAATGTCAATAGCGGTGTTAGACAGGGTTGCCCAACCTCTCCATTCTATTTCAACTTCGCCATGTACGCGACCCTGGATACTGCCCTGGAAAACTCAGTCCTGCGGTGTTGAACTGCTCCCTAGTTGACCGCGTCCAGAAATTAGAGTACGCCGATGACCGCTGTGATTTGCAAGTCCTCCAAAGTCGCGCAACATGTGCTGCTTAGACTGCAGCACTGCAGCCTCTCAATTTGAATTGACTTTCGCCCCTTCCAAATGTAAGCTTCTGTTACAGGACTGGCCAAGTGCATGTCCCTTTTCTAACCCTTTCGGAACATCCGCTGGAAGTGGTCGACAAATTTATTTATCTTGGAAGTTGTCTTAGTATTGGCGGTTTGACAGATGAGCTCTCCCTGTGTCTCCAAGACTAGAGTGGCTCTAGCTAACCCTCGTCGTGACCTCAGCTTCACTTTCAAGGGACGAGTCTACAATGTTACGATACGAGTGATTCTGCTGTACGGCTGTGAGACTTGACCCATTCGCATAAACCATGTTCAGCGACTATCTGTTTTCGATCACCGCTGCTTGCGAAGCATTGCTGGTGTTCGATGGCAGCATCACATCAGTGCTGAGGAAGTCCGTTGGCGAGTTTTCAGATCTAACGAACTTCGCCGACCGATTGGTAGGATCATTGCACTGCAGAGGCTTCGCTGGCTTGGGCATGTGCTCCGCATGCCTACCCAGCGACTACCACGACGAACCCTGTTTGCGAGCACATGTGTGGAGTAGAAGCGACGGACAGGAGAGCAATGTGAAACTTGGATCCAATGCGTTAATCAAACGTTGAAACGTCGTTCCCTACTCGTGGGTTGGGGACCAAAGGACCTCGAGCACATTTGGTTGCAAACGCTGAAGGAAATGGCCAAAGACCGTGCACAATGACACACTTGTCGTGAGACTCTTCTACCCTAACAGTTGTTTTCCTTTTCAATCTATCTTTTGCCTCTTATGTTTTGTAGCACTCAGCCAATTGTATTGTAATTGGTAATGTGTTATATATATATATATATATATATATATATATATATATATAGTCGATTCCGGTTAATAGGACCAGCCACTTATTCGGGCCAAATTCTGAAGCACCGAAACGAATCCTATTACGCTAGCCTAATTTTATCCGCTTATTAGGACCGGAATTTTGCTTAATCGGACCAGACGATAGAAGGTGGCAGGTAACTGAGGTGTTAAAATCAAGTTCTGTGCCTGGATGTCTGGACTAAACCCGCAGTTCATATGTCGGGCAAGAAAGTGTATCATACAGTTACGGTAATCCGAGTTGGCCTTTGGATAAACTGAACTGTGGCAACCTTGAGGCACATCTATCTAA